CCTTAGACATAAATAACATTATTGTCTTTGCTTTTATTATGATTTTACCAAATGTTAGATTACTGGATCGTACGTATGTATTATTAAATGTTACTTGTTTGTTATATTTGTAATTCTTTACAAAATAATTATTAGATCTAAAGAACATTTTTGTATTTGCTTATGACTTATAAAACATTACTTGGTTGTCCGTATGTATCCTTTTATGTTTTACTGTAAGTTATGTTATACGTAATTTTTCACTGGTAAAGATTCATAAGATAAAAATAAAGAACAATTTTCTTTGTCTTTTGACTTTGATATGACTATCAAAATTTAATACGTGATTAAGTGGTTGTAGGTATATATTATTTAATGTCAATATACTGGTATTCTAGAAGCTATACATCCCATGTCACCAACTGTGTTTCAACACTATCTTCTTCATGTTGAACTCCTTGAATTTCTAGTTTGCTTTCTATTTCATGGAATACATCACTGTTATGACAACCTCCTTCTGAATTACAACAAATGTCATTCTAACTGAAAACATAATCTCGTTCTTTTTGTCTATTTTCATCCAGGACTGTCAATCAAATTGAAATAATGAAATTTTGACTTTGGTTGTGATTGTGTTTAGCTATGCAATGGTATGACATAATGCCATGATGCAGGCGTGTATGAATACGCAAATTGGACAAAAGATGATACATGTATACGTACAATGTATTTCAATTAGATTCGTGCAAGAAGTTAAATTTCTTTTAATATTCGGAATAAAACATGTCACATTCACCCTAATTCTGTCTTTTAAAACGCTTTTAGCATAATATGGGTTGCATATGATTTTGTAAAGCATTCAACCTTTTTCCTTTTTTCTAGAAGAGAAATTAAAGCAGAGAATTAAAACTATTTGGAAACTTTACAAACATCAAGACAAATAACTGCTCTTTTATAAATTTCCCAATGAATATATAGTCTTACATTTCAGGTCAGAACAAGTGCAATATTGTAAGGATAGTCATATCATTTTATTCAACTTGAGAAATATAAATTCATTAACAGATGAAAGTGCTTATATACACCTATTGTTAAATGCGTAAGATTTCTTGGATCACGTTTACAATTGGAAAAGTGTACATTTTGTTAACAATTCTGGGTTCTCGATCCCTTACCATCTAAATAACTTTTTGAGATTTCAATTTTATTGAAGTTTATAGAACACTAATTCCTTTTGTGTTTTAATCTATCTTAAAGTTTAATATTGTCACGGTTCAGAACTGTTCACTATATAGGGGAGAAAATGTGTAAGCGGCCGGATAGCTCAGTCGGTAGAGCCGCGGTACGGTATTCCGAGGGTCCCGGGTTTGAGTCCCGGTCAGGCTGCACATTTTTCTCACCCAGTGACATTTGGCGCCCAACGGGGGACCGTGACTTATATAGCTCAGAGTTTAATTTACATTGCTCTGTAACTCTGTGAAAAACGAGGACGAATTTCAATATAGCAGGGGAGTATGTCACGGTTTAGAACTGTTCATTAATTAGGGGAGAAGATGTGTAAGCGGCCGGATAGCTCAGTCGGTAGAGCCGCGGAACGGTATTCCGAGGGTCCCGGGTTCGAGTCCCGGTCAGGCTGCACATTTTTCTCACCCTGTGACAATATTTAGCATTCAAAAAAATAAAAATAACGTTTTATAGTAGACAATAAGATATTTTAAAGTTTTCCTGAGATACATGAGGTCTGAGGCATGTAATTCCTTAAACTTTCCAAGCGGCGCACTGAGGGATTCATAAATTTTTAATTCAACAATGATGCTCATACACATCTATAAATCTATTTTAAGAAGCCGTATGTGACTGTACTGTTTTACTGATACCTACAAACCTATGTGTTTATTTAAGAAAAAAACAGTGATTTCATCGCTTAATACAATCACTGTATCGAGTTTGGATGAGAGGAATTATATCACGAGGGCTGATTTGGATATGTTATTCGATTCTAACACGACATCAATAAATGGGTACGACCGTACCTGATATCAAGCTAATTTGCACATTATTTGTTTCCGTACTTATTTTCAGTACTTATTTTCAGTGCGTCGCATTTTAAATGATTACGTCACATGTCTAACGCTTATGTCACATGTCTAAAAATAGAAAGTCAACAGTGATTTTATTATATCATGACACACACTTTCTGTCCTACTATGTTCTATAGGAAATATTCGGGTCGTATTAGAATTACATATTATTACCCCTCACGTTTTGGTAATGTTAATTTCTGAAAGGCCACTGGGTTTTATTTTTATTTGTTTGGGTCGTCAGACCAAACAAATAAAGGTTGCGAAATGTCAGACCCTGATATGCTTATTTGAAAAATCATCAAGTAGTCCGTCATGAACTCCTTGAAGCGGTAACGTTCCTTTATAAGTACACTAAAAGCCGAAAACTTAAGGGTAAATCCCTGCGTAAATATTGTCAAATGATAGAAACATTAATTTTCAAACCTTCTCAGGGAAGAAAACAAGCTCCCGATTGGTCGAAGATTTCTAATATTGTGTAATTCTTTAACATTTCGCAAATTACCGGTAAAATATTCAAATAATTTTGTATGAATATCATTTAAATCAATGAAAATTGCTCCGCTATTTCCGTAAAGTTTCGGATTATTGTGATCGCCTAAATGAACATTTTTTATTTAGACTTTCTAAAAAATAAGGTAAGGATGTTGACTTTAGGACAGGGATAACATTAGGCTGTCGACGATCGATAATCTATTTTAAATATTTAATTCAAAAATAAATAAGGATTACAAATCCTGATTTAGAATAATGTGGTTTGCTGCACGCCTCCAGATGAACAAAAATATTTCGATGAAATCAAACCTAAGATTTAAGTAAAAGTATAGTAATAATTTACATGTTGTGTGCGATTAATGACCGATTTTCGGTATCTATAACTATATTTCTACTGCGTTACTAATGCAGTAAGGGCTATGTTTGCATATTTTGACCTCTTTATGGTAATTTACGTGGGTTGAATTTGCCATTGATAATGTGTAAATTGCATTGTTTCAGTAACTTCACAATATTATACTGTTAAATACATTTTCAAATTTTCACGAAAATTGCATGAATCTTGAGGCGTGCTGTTTTAAGGCTGTCTTCTTATAACTACCCCGTGGTCTAGGGTTTACACGCTCGTTTGGGAAGGAAGAAGTCTGAAGTTCAAATCCCAGTGAAGGCAACTCATATTTCTTTTTTGATTGTTTAAGCCAAATAAACATTGAATTGAATAATCAGTGTTGCAATTAGCTTATATATACAGCCTTATAGGCAATTCACTACAGTTAAAACACTGGACACAGCATTGCTGGCACTACACAAATACAAATTGGTTTATAATCTCACAACCTTTACCTTATTCAGCGCCTTCAGTACTTTGATTACTGTAAATGCAAGTGTATCTAGTGTATAAGAACTTTGTACCGTTAAAAGGTATTAATAACAGCACTTTTAAAATATCGTCACTGATAAATGTAAACTGGTATAATAAGACATCTAACTTACATAACTTCCAATTAAAAAATGAAAACAAATAAGTCTATTGCATAAGTCTATTGCAGGTGGAAGTGACACGCATGTTTTCGGATATGTATTTAACGATAACGTAACATTGAATCTGCACATAACATCAAGAAAACAAATCATGAATACAGATAATCAATAAACAAACCTACATAATCACGTATTGCAATACCATGCATATAATAATAAAATAGAAATCTTTTTAATTTTGATACATGCTGCACCTGCATTACACAATATACTTATATAACATTTCATTTTCCTTAAAGGCCTAATATGCCCAAAAAATAGTTTTATTTTTATTTCTCAAAAACTAATTTTGCGTTGTAAAGAAAATAAATAATAAGCCATTTAATCATTTTTTAAGTATTTAGTGCAGATATAGTGATTTTATATTTTGCTTTGAAGTCAAAATACATCTTTGTTTATATTTTGCTACTTTTTTATAAATGATTTAAAATTCAACGCTAAGTTATTAGGTAAAAAGCATCTTACATGCTTTAAAGCCATTGTTTTACATTGTTAAATTTTGCATGTCCTTTCTAAAAAAGGAAACATACATTCACTTTTTTAGGTAGCATGTGCCTAAAAAGAAAACAAACTAACTAATGATATATATATACTTTACTTTAATATAATTTAATTTATTGTCATTCAACTACATAAAGGGAAAATATTACACTTATTCGCATACATAAATTATGTTCTTCAATCGATATTTCTTGAAAACCGATAAATTGGCAATAATGCATTGGCATGTTATTTTAAATAACCAAGAAAAATTAGTTTTGAAGGTTTAACAGTCACACCTGTTTAAATAAAAAAATATCAATTCACCTGATATACCTTGAATATTTTTTTTTTCTTTAAATTTCTTAGACACTTATTCAATTCGCCAGTCATTTAGCATCTAATGTGATGAAAACTGCATTTAAAATCAAAAAGATTCGCACTACAGAATGAACAAATAATCTACTTTTAGTATTTGTCACTTCTGAATCTGTTCTGAAAGAGTTTTTGTTGTAAAAAAATATAAATTAATGGTCTGATACATAAAAAAGCGACGACGGCAACAATAAGATTCCATACAAACTTACATAAATGTGGTCTTATTTGTCAGAAGTATTTTCAGCAATTTAGAGATTTTAACAACTATGATGTAAGTTGTGTTTATTCGAATAATGAATACTGTTTAGTATGTTAACACTAAATTAAAGCATTTAATTCGGTTAAAGTCTAATAACACCTTGTATACCCAGTAACGCAACAATGAGCATGTGACGCAAAAGTAACGCCAAATATGTGCAAAGCTATATAATGCCCAAATCGAGTATCACGGTAAGTTAACGGACCAAAATAGTTTATCATAAATCAAAATTACAACACCAGGGATCAAAACCACCTCATCTGCTGGCGCTTAATTATGCATAGACACAAGTTTTTCGAACCCATATAGTCGCCTCTTAACTTTGGGATAAAACGGTGGCTGCAGTTCTGATGCAGTTAGAGGCAACCCCTAAATCACAATGGGGTATTTTGCGAAGTAATAAATAATGGAGCAGCAATCAGTTTGATTTTTTATTGCTGATGATACAGATAAGTACATTTACTAACTTGCTAAACACTCGACATTTCATAAAAGAAAACAATGACAGATAGGTTATATCTTCAATAAAAGGGAGATAATGAGCATTTTATTGAATAGATTATTAACAAAGTGTTGTCGTCCCTTTTTGAGCAAGGGTATTAATATTACTGTCTGTGGAATTAAGCGTTTTGTTCCCAGCGTACTTTTGTAACGGTTAAATATATATTAATATTGAAATGTATTAATTTGTTTAACAAATCAGAAGACTGATATGTATAAATATCTTTCCTGAAACTGTAATTTGCACCAATGACTCGTTTCCATCAATTGTACTTTGTAGAAGTTAAACCGGGGGGAAACAACCGTGAAAAACGTTTGCTAAAATCCAACCACTGCTTATTTCCCTTTGACAGCTAGTTATAATTTTAACTGCCGATACTTTGGTTTTATAGCAAAGTTGAGCAAACAGGGTAGTCCTAAATATTTAAACAAACTGGATAAAATGTCGGAAATCTTAATTTTTGTTTAGCAAAATGGAAAACCTAAAACATATTTATTTCCCACTCGTCCAATGCCTGTTTTGGTTACCTCTCGTATTTTGATATGAAACATAGGAACAAACAGCGCAAGTAAGTTCTCGACCGTTTATGTATGGTGGGCATTTTAGTGAACCACATCTTCCTTCAACAGAATACATTAAAATTCCATTTAGATCTTCATTGCCACCTTCTATGCTCTCCGGAGATTCGTCCAAACACACGTATTCAGATGCAGCGGCATGCTTATATTTACCAGCAACTAAAACGCCTCTGTATTCCAAAGTCCAACCGTTGTAACATTCGTTTCTGGCAGGAATCATTCTAACAGGTGCTCTTGGGGTTTTACAAACCGCACATGGGACATCATGTTGATAGGTATGTGGGGATTCGTCATTACGCTGATATTCAGCGCCATAAACGTACGCCCGCTCTTCATTTAAACCGTCATTGTACTTTGCCCACAATGGCTTTTTTGGCAAACAGAGGTAATTTACCGCTGCTCCACTATTGGTGAAGTGAGAACCCGCTGTATAGCCATCATACACGAGCTCTGCTCCATTGTCTGGGCATGTTGTTCGTCCCCATCTTACGTAAGTTTCGCCTTGACCAGGCCCTTCCGCTTCCATCTTATCAATAACATCATTTAACGCTTCAATCGATGCATGTGCCTCTGGAAAAAGTAAATAGTATTTTTTTTGTGAAATAACAGGAAATTATTTCTTACCGAAATTGCTTCTTAACGTTTTATGAAAAACATTTTCGAACAACTTAAGGGCGAATAATTTAGTAATAATTCAACTCGCAGACTCAAATAAAAAGATGGTGAACCAATGTAACAATATTCTTTACGACGGAAACAAATATACATTTATTCGTTAAACATATTAAACAAAGACAACATTTAATTTTGTTTAAAGATCCGTTATGCCCCAGATATGCTTTTATATTTCTTTATTGTTGGTGTCCTGTTACAGTTTCCGAAAAGATACTTATTTGAGGATTTACCAAATACGAGAGGTTACCCAAAAATTCGTGGACTTTTAAATATCTTTTGAATGTCAACGTTTTTCGTAATGAAATTTTATCAGCATATCTTGTTGAATATCAACAACATATTTTGAAAGGAACAATTAACTGTGTCAATAAATAATCATTTTATATTACTTTTAAATAAGCACATAAGCGTTGTTAGTGATAGTATATTTTTTACTAAAAAACTAAAACATTTGAAAAAATTCAGCAGGCAAACAGAGAAAATTTCACGATCATGATTAGTGTTTTAGTGATATAAGAGATTTAGTGATGGACAGCACAACGGACATTACTTTGAGAAGCAGTAGCATTCATTGACTGCGTGACGTTGAAGCACAAGTTTTATTTTATTATGGCGTTGACGTCAATATCTTCTTTGGAGTGCGCCGTTGTCGCCGACATGTATTTATGTAAAATTAAATATTGTTGTAATATAAAAAGCTTCTAACATGAATTTTTCTGTGATTATTTGTTATTTATTCTTCTAAGCAGTGCAAGAATTTCAAATCAATATCTCAAGTATATTTTACGCAACAAAGGAAGTCCAAGAATTTTTGAATAACCCCTCGTACTACTTTGTTTACATTTTGCTACTTTATGACAAATACTTTTACATTCAGAGCTACTTTCCTCAGGTCATAAACATCCTACATTTTCTAACCATTATTTAAACATATTCAAACTTAATATTTGATTACATAATTGTAGGCATGTATTAATTAATATTAATATACTGGTATGACTACGAGGCATACGGTGCCATTAAAAGATAAATTAAACATAAATTGAACCTATTATAATTATTAATGATCAAAATTAATGTTTTAACTCTTAGCGTTTTTATATATTTGAGGCCTGTCGATGTTGGAGGAAACGGGGTCAGTGTAGAATGGTGTGTAAAGAATATAAGATAGTGTCCTTTAGAGGAGTCTTTGTGTTAGAAACGGTAACAAATTAATATATTTCGTCATAAGTACTGATTTTTGTGTGTGTTAAAATTTTCACAAAAGAAGACAAAAAAGTTCAATTCCTATATATTTAAGATGTACAATTTTATTACTCTAGTTACAATTCTTGGCTTTCCTGATAAAATATTAAATACATTTTACATAAACATAAATTATATATTAGTTAGTTTTCTGAGTTTCATAAACCCATTACAACACTATCATATTTTACCTTTTAGCTCTTCGGTTAAATGTTCAACAATATTTGATTTTTCCTTCAGTTTCAGTTCAAGTTTTGATTGTCCTTCCTCGAGCTGCACTAATTTCTGTAAAACTTTGTATTCATACTCGAATCTCGACTCGCCAATAAATGCAACTTTTTCTCCTCCTCGCCCCTCCTCTGAACAAAACGTAGACATCAGAATAAAGGGGAGGACAAATGTAATCGCCTGACGCATGTTGAAATAGTGTAGAATGCAAGCTGAAAAATACACAGCCACACACACACACACACACACATTACTGTCATTGAAATACGATATATTGTTCTAATGGCAACCTGTATATGTTTTTGTTTATTGTAGTTTTAAATTTATGAAAATTTACACCATTTCAACAGAAAAAATAGAATGTAAACTCTTCGATAGTGCAATTTACGTCATAGAATATGATATTAATGAAATACAATTTAACTACCATTTTTATAGCATAAGAATCTAAGTTTATTTGTCGCTATAATTATTGACTGACTATTCTATATGTAACAGGAGCCAGGACTGTTTGGCTTAAATACCCAGGTTCGATCTATATTTTATAGTGTGTGCTTATTTTGGAAAGAGACAACTAAATGTAATAACTTTACACTCACAATTTTATTATAAGCAGACAAGCTGTATGAAATACATTACTGAATATAATACCATATTTTATATAATTCTGAAATAAACCCTGAATATAATTTGTAAGAATTAAATAAATGTTCCTCTAAGAGCCAAAATGAAACCTAAAATCTAAATTAAAAAAAGAAATAGAAAAATTTAGAGAGAGAAAGATGGTTCAGTTCTAAGGCCTATGAAATAGGTAACACTTTACCTTCAGCTCGGCGACCAAAGCACTGAACGCTGGGCATAGGCTGGGAGCCTATTTATGCCAGGGATTTCCCGCCAAAAATTGAGGGACGTTACCAAAATAAACATAAAATCAAGTACTGTCATTAGACTGCATATATAAAACTATAGTGAAACTAATTGTACACATAGTTCATGTTATTATTTAACAACCCTCTGGAAGGAAAAACAAGAAGCATGAAAATCTCATGCTGCAAGTACAAGTACGCTATACTGTAACTTAAAGGTGTATAACCATACACTGATAATGTAAGGAAACTGCCTGAAAAGAATGATTTCAGGTCCTTATAAACATGTAGTTTAAGGATAAATACTCTATAAAATTGGAATATATGAAAAGCCAGGGTTATAACTGCGTTACTGAAACGTATTAAAGAAGTTAACTTATACATACATGTATAAAAATCTAATGTACTTCATATAAAATCAAGGTGTATGCCTTTAATAAACCCTCACTAGGTGTACTGAAGAAAAGTAGTTCAAAATAGGCCATAATTATATGGTTATATAGATAGTATGAAATGAACAATATACTATAGAAAATATCGCTCCTGCTACACTCCCCCCACCTTAAGATCTAAATTGATTAATTTAGTCAATAATAATTTTGAAAATAAGCAGGAAGATATTTTCATTGTAACATAAGAAATGTCCTTATTAACAAAACGCAAAGTGAAAACTTTCACTGATCAAAATCTAACAAATTTAAGCGTTAAAATTGAAAGTCCTGAATAAATGAAGTAGAAGTACACTTAGAATAAATTCTGCGTTTCACTATGATAAATTAAACACTGTATTTAAAGAATGTCATAAAGCACTGTTGATCTTCTTGTCTTCGGACATCTGCATTGAAAGTAGAATAAGGAAACATTTGGATCCACATCATACCCATTTTAAGGTCTTATGCCTGGTTTGACCTTAAATGGACCTACTCCAGTATAGGCGACTTATCCGCGGCCCCCAGTTGGGTTTGGCGGACCTAGCAGCACTTCGGCTGACTAGGCGAATAAAAAAAACATTAATGTTGAATACGGTGCCACTTAGGCTTTCGATGAATGAACAACTGCCCTTGTTCAACCATGGCAACCTCATCCCGGCAAACAATTTGTTTACGAGTTTGGGTATTTACCAGCCTATCCTCTGCCTCCACTGCTATACGCTTCCGCTTCCTTTGCTGCTGGGCGCGTATGTCTGGTTTAAACGGAAGGACATTACCTGGACTGATGTATGCCTGGTTGAGTTCCAGACTCGGCGAGAGACTGGAACTCATCTTGTGGCTTGTCTTTTGATGATGAGAAATGTTCGTTTTTCTTTTGCCGAAGTTTTACTACAGTTTGGGTTTTCACCTCCACAATTCAATAAACTCTTCGTGCTTATGCCCCCAGCTGTCTCATTAAAGGTTGCTGTGGCTAGCATACATATGGTCCCCACATAGTGTTATGGGAACATTGGGGTCGGGTGACCAGGCCACAATGGCCTTCCATCAGATTCGGCATCTTCCACTCCTGTCAACACCCTCGCCACTACTTTCTGCCACCACCTCGCCACTTCCTTCTGCCAACACCTCACCCACCACCACCTTCCGCCAACACTTCACATCCACCTTCTGCCAAACCATCACCTCCACCTTCTCCAAAACTGCACCTCCACCTTCTGCCAACACTTCACCTTCTCCTTCTGCTAACACTGCACTTCCACCTTCTGCCAACACTTTACCTCCACCTTCTGCCAACACTGCACCTCCACCTCCTGCCAACACTTCACCTCCACCTTCTATCTCATCACCAACATCATCTATATAATCAAGAACATCTTCCAAGTACCCTTCTAAAATATCTGGACGCATCATCTGCAAAAATAGGTTATAGTAACCTTTAAAACATATTCAACATATTTATAAACAAAACTAGTGTATTTTGTGCCTTTTTTTTTTTTTTTTTTTTTTTTTTTTTTTTTTTGAAAAATACTTATGCAAATTAAATCGCACAAAAACCCGAAAGAAATGAAGTTCTACCAAAGTGTCTCAGCCTGGTTAAGACAGATTTTCTGAGATAAACCCCATTGTAGTACTATATCATTATAGTCTAGGCTCAAATAATGAAGTCAGATCATGCAACTGACAGAAGAAGAACTGTAGCGCTATAATTCTAAATATGTTTACAGGTGATCTTCTTCACTTTGATTGTTTAACCGCACGCTGATAGAAAAATCAATTCATTCAGAAATACTATTCTATTCAATTTACATTAGTACACATACAGCAAACCTATTGATATATTTGTAAAAATTAGTCAATTAATATAGACCAATAAAATAACTTTGTCAAACTGGACCAATTAAAGACCCGAACCATTTTTCTCTCATAACAAATATCAATTTTCAATCTCATAACAAATATCAATTTTCAATTAGCTTTTCAAAAAAAATGTGAGTTTATTTTATTTCAAACAAGAATCCCTCATATGTACAATTTTAAGATATCTCTATACCTTTATATATATATATATATGTATACGAGCATAATTTATACTTTTCAATAACAGAAATATTTATCATGGCTAACGCCAACTGAATATATATGTAATATCAAGACATTACATTTTGTCATGATTAACAATACATATTATTCCAAAGAATACACATAACAAGTAATTTAGTACTGTATGATAATACAAAATACAAACATAATGCCATATAAAGCAATATACGTAATCTGTATAAGACATGGTTATGACAAAACAATAACATTGTCATTTAGATACTTGACATTATAAATACACAAACGTATATCCTACATGTAGATAAATATTATCCACACACATTTACATGGAAACCTTATTTTAATGTGACAGCATACATGGGACAAGAAAATATAATGATTTCATAGATTGTTCATGTATATGTACATTGCAATACATGATTAGTGGAAATCTAAATCTATTATCAGGGATGATAAGATAACTTAGGAACTATTATCATCTCTGACATCGCACAAGATACATTTAGTTGATGCATCTGTGGTAAATTATTTACAAGTAAAAAGTCTTGGTATCTGTTTGGGTTTATTTAAGACGGTGAAAATATAATTTTAGGCTTCACCCGCCTTCCGGCTCTAGATACATATGGCGTGACCTCTGTTTGCTGGTCATCATCCGGTGAAGTGCTATTAGCCACTTCTTCGTTTTCATCATCGGGATAATTTGGATGGTGTACATTTAGTATTTCAGACTCGCTGTCACTAGAATCAGTATATGTTCTAGTTCCCTGATAAGGTTTTAAGTGATCTATATGAACAGTAACCCGTTTCTTTGTCTCAACATGTTCAATAGTGTAAGTCACATCAGTGATTCTCTTAATTACAGTATATGGACCTGTCCACCCCAGCCCAAGTTTTGTATTAGCTATTGGGGGATACCAACGCCAAACTAAATTGTGCTCAGTAAATTGTCTGGTTTTTAAGCCTTTTTCATAGGCTTTCTTTTGTCTAGACGCTGCTACTTTAAGATTATGAAAAGCGGTATCAAAGGATATCTCTAGTGATTGTCTCATCCATTCTACATATTGACTAGGGCAAAGTTTGTCCTTTGTGTCAGGGCAATCACCAAACATAACATCAATTGGGTAAGTAATTTCTCTACCTAGCATTAGTTTGTTCGGGCTGAATTTAGTACTTTCATGACAGGTGGAACGAAAAGCCATCATGACAAAAGGAAGATGGTCATCCCAATCATTTTGATTTTCATTGACAAAAATAGACAACATCTGAAGTAACGTGCGATTCAGACGTTCAATCATACCATCTGATTTAGGATTGTAAGGGGTTGTCCTAGTTTTATCGATATCAAGTAATTTACACATGTGCTTGAATAAATGAGATTCAAACTCACGGCCCTGATCTGTGTGAATATAGGAGGGGACCCCAAACCTGCATATGAATTCATTTACCAGTTTATCTGCTACAGTTAATGCGGTATGGTCTTTCAAACTGTAGGCCTCTGAGTATTTAGTGAAATAGTCACCGACCACCATAATATACTGATTTTCATTACTAGTCATAGTAAGAGGACCTAAAATATCAATGGCTATTCTATCTAATGGTCTTGTAGAAATGTCTTGCTCGAGTTGAGATTTCCCTAAACCGGGACCAGGTTTCCTACGAGCGCACATATCACAATTTTGGCACCAGGTTTGAACATCCTTTGTCATACCGGGCCAGTAAAACCTTTGCTTTATACTTTTGAGAGTTCGGTCTCTTCCTAGGTGAGCAGATATACGACTACTATGTAGCTGAGCAAATATTTTAGACCTAAGTACTGAAGGGGCCAAAATTTGCAATGAGGGATGTTCTGTACCAGGTACATCATACCTTTTCCGGTACA